GAAAATCAAGCTCGGGGCTGTGGTGAGTCGTCATTTTCATGCACTTTGAATTTGCGTTGTATCGTATTTTGAAGGCATTAAACATTACCAGAGCGATAAGAGTGTTGCGACCAGATTAGACGCTCCTTGTGTTTATTATTGTATTTCGAAAACACCACAGTTTTCATGCAGCTCATACCATATTATTTTGTTGTATTAATTCCGCCACACCTTAAATGCCGGTCCCTGAAAATAATGTCTGACTTAAACCGGTCCGTGGGGCAAAAAAGGTTGGGGACCCCTGTTCTAAAGCATAAAAATGCATCACAATATGCAACAAATACATGTTACAATTATATTATGGCACAATAAATGAGAGTTGTGCATAATGTAAAAAAACAGAGAATAGAGTAACGAATAACAATGCTCATTTAAATTTTAACTGTGTCCTCATCGTTATTTGCCCTCCTTAGATAAAAAAAAAAAGACATAAAAGCAGAAAAGAATAAAAATGAAAACATTTTGAGAATATCGAGTTCAATTTACAAAATAAAAGCAAAATGGTGAAAACAGGAAATCATATTTTGGAACCAATAACGTTTTCAGGCCGGATTCAAATGTACTGACAGTTCTGAGCATATCGCGAGTCTTCAGGAAATCGTTTCCACATTTGCGGAGCAGAGAAACCGAATACTGCTTTACTTACGGTATTTTATTATCACTAATGTGCACATGCAGGAATCTTACGCACCACAATGGCCTGGATGACTCCCACATATTCAGGAGGTTATCCCCAAATAATCCCATCAACCCAGCCGCTGGGGGGCAGTGCCCTCCCCTGGGGGTGCACTGTTCCCCAGTGCCGGTCCCAAGCCCGGAGAAATGGGGAGGGTTGCGTCAGGAATGGCATCCGGCGTAAAACTTTTGCCAAGACGACCATGCGAGTTGGTAGGACGGTTTACAGGGGCGGATGGAAATTACTGACTCGCTGTGGTGACCCCTGAATAGGGAGGTGCCGAAAGGAGAAGAAGAAGAAGATCCCCAAATAATCCCATCCTAGTCTGAATCTGATCTCACGAGAGAGATGACATTGGGGGTGATTTTTTTTTCCAGCTTTGGGTGGTGCCTTCCAAACTTGAGTCCACAATCAAGGTCGATGCGTGATTGTGGACTTAACATTCTTCTTGCGGGGCATCTTGAGCCCTGCATTCTTTTAGGAGGAATTTCTGTCATTCTGGTTTCACGGTCGGAGCACAGAAGATGCGGTAAAGTAATGTTCAGCGTTAAAGTGGAATTTATTTTTACTGGCACGATAGTTCAACTAAAATAAAACCCGCAGTTTCTAAACTTTACATAACACAAGAATGCCACAGTTGTATGAAATGAGAAGGAGTCACTCACTGGTCATTGTGTTACGTGCACATGCTTGGTGTCAGTAATTAGAGCAACAAAAACAATCATGTTACATTTGGATTGTAATCACACGTCATTTATGTGTAAAACAATCTTCAGGATCTGGAAAGCAGTGGTGAAGATTTATCCCCCCCCCCCCTTTTTTTCATCATTACTTTGACCTGTCAAAAGTTCTGCTGCACTTTTTTGGTAGGGAAATGCCCATGTGCTCAGCGTAAAAACTGAGCTCCTGTGGCATTTCTGTCAATATTGTAATCTGAATGACAGTTGCTCTTCTGTAGCGAAGGAAGGAACGGAAGACTGCAGCTTCACCTTTGGATCTCTGCTGCCCTCTTGTGGTGTAATAATAATAATAATAATAATAATACATTACATTTATAAGCGCCTTTCAAAACACTCAAGGACACTTTACAATCAAAACAAGAACAATAAAACCACAGATAAAATTATAAATAATAAAAGGAGAGGTGAATTTAAACTGAATTATCGATAGGTATGGCAAGCCATTTGAGCATTTATTCCAAATCCCTGATATCAGACATTGATGTGTTACACTAGTTTGATCTCTTTCAGCACTAGTTCGACACTCAGCCACACATGTGACACACTTTGTCGAACTAGTTGCACACGAACTCCAACTAGTCATTCATTTTCAGCAACATGTTAACTTGTCAATCATGGATTATTCTAACATGTGAACTTGTGACCCGTGATTTCCTGCGCTAGTAAACAAAGGCGAGCTGAAATACTCACTAGTTTACTAGTGGCGGATAAAACAGCAGCTAGTTTACTAGTTAAAGCCCCTTGACGCCTTGATATCTAACTAGTGAGTGTCAAAAATGTTACTTGTTCACTGGTGATGCCCCAAATATTTACTAGTTGCACTAGTGTGACATTTAATGTCGCACTAGTGCAACTAGTGAGGACGAGAGTAAACCGTAAAAAAAACCCGTAAAACAAACGCTAAAAAAGAATAATAGCGGGTGAGCAGCTATTCAAATGGTCGTTATATTTTTGTTGTGGGTCATTCGAGTATTCAGCATGGTGCCATCAGACAACACTGTAGAACTTCCTGCTATAGGCCTATTCAGCACCATCTCACATCTCTCTACGATTGTCATGAATGAACTCTTCACCTCATTGACAACAACGCAATATTTTACAGGCACTATGGAGCACATTTGTCTTACATGCCATATTTGTTCTGATCTGACACAAAAGAGCTGTGGTACATTTCCTCCCGTTTTCCGGGATTGAGGACGGCGAGGGTTGAAGCGAAGGACATATGGGAAAGAGCATTTCATGAGCACGGTCGTCGTCACCACTGGAGAAAACGCTGAGGCTAAGCGGAAATTTGAGGAGCTCGGCAGCACATTTTGGCCACAGGGATGGAGCAAATCAAAAATTTCAAAATATGCAGACAAGAAGTGACACACAATAAAAACAGAACGCTTGCAGACCTCAGCAACCAGTCAGCAGCATACAAATAAATAAAGTTGGAAATGACTGCACTTGATGTCTTCTGTCGTTGTGCCATGGACGAAATTATAGAAAGTGATCATATTTTTTATAAAGAGGGTTTAAAATGAGATATGGGTTGATTTGGTGTGTTGAAATTCTTGTTGGATGATTGCACTCATTTTAATTGAAGTAGGAACAGGAGTGCGTTTTTAACATGCTGACTCAACATTTTGACAAAATAATTACATATTGGAAAGCAATCATCATCATATCAAATGTGTAGTCTGGGTGAGATCACTTTTGTGTTTGGAAGGGCGTTATGGATAAACATCAAATGCAATACTTGATTTCTATTCAACAGTCGCTGACGGTGACTGACTTGTGAGCGGGCAGAGTGGATTCGGTGCCCACTCAGTGACGATGTGGATGTGGGTGTGAATTGTTGTTTGTCTCTGTATGGGTCCTGTGGCTGACTGGCGACCAGTTCAGGGTCTAGTCTGCCTTCCATACGGTGTCAGCTGGGATAGGCTCCAGCAACTCCCCACGACCCCGTTCGGGATGAGTGGTGTGGAAAATGGAATGGATGGCAGTGTTTACATCTTCAAATGATTCCTTCCTCATTCCTAGAAAATCCCAATATTTTTATTTAATGGGAACCTGATCTTTTTTTTTTTGTTTTGTTTTGATGGGGGTGGGGTGTTATATTTTACCCGAAAGTAAAATGCCACAATGCCAAATAAGTTATTTATGGAATATTAAATGTTGGAGGTGCAAAGACTGATCTGCAGTCATGTTAATGATGTGCAAAAACAGTGTGGGGCAGGAATGTCATCCAGGGATGCAGAAAACGGGTCACACACACACACACACACACACACACACACACACACACACGCGCGCGCGCGCGCGCGTAAAGCATGTGTGTGTTTGTCAGGGACCATTTTAAAATATCGGGACCATTTTAAAATACCATCCGAATTCCCCTTGACGGGTCAACTTCCCCTCACTGAGTCACAGTCCACATATTCCCGTGCAAGTAGCGACGTTGCTCCAAATCATGAAACCAAAGTGTGGATGCAGTACTTGTTTACTCTGCAATATCGTGACACAGAGAGGATGGATGTAGATGGTGCCATTTTCAGTTAAATGTGTTGCAAGTAGAGACGTTGCTCCAAATCGTGAACCCAAAGTGTGGATGTAGTACTTGTTTTCTCTGCGATATCGTGACACCGGAGAGGATGTAGATGGTGCCATTTTCAGTTAAATGTGTTATTTCCGGTCAAAATGCGAGTTGACGGTTAATCCGAATCAGTTTGATTCAAGTCATCAGAGCAGTTTGCTGAACACAGATGGTCTTTGGCACTGAACACATCTGGGTACCTCGACATGCTTTCCTCACCTTTAGCAGCTTTTCATGGCTAGAAGTCACCTGGCTCATCAAACACATAAACTGGACACCACGCTTAAGTCAAACACCAGGAGTCACTCAACACTGTTTTTTAACTGAAAATGGCATTATGGAGATTATTTTTGCATATATTTTTAAAACGGTTGCCAGTGAACTTTTTATTGTACCTTCCTTCTAATGGAGAAGTTGTTCTGCTACATCAGTGGCGACTGTTTTTTAACTGAAAATGGCATTATGGAGTATTCAAACCAAAAAAATGACACAATTTTGGATTCTGGAAATATATGATTATTTTTGCATATATTTTTAAAACGGTTGCCAGTGAACTTTTTATTGTATCTTCTAATGGAGAAGTTGTTCTGCTACATCAGTGGCATAGGCAGGTGAAAAAAAATGTATATTTGTAATGAGTAATAATGCGCATACAAATTTTGAGGAATTTTCCCCGCAACACCTTGGTGATCGATCAGCACTTTGGTTGGTAATCATTGATTTAGAGATGTGCTTACAGACGACTCGGAATGATGATCCACACATATTCCATTTTTTGACGTCACTTCTTGCTCAAGTGCAGCTGTCTGGTTGACTAATAAACTAATCACCTCACCATTCCCATCAGTCCGTTTTTTTTTTTAATCGTAAACTAAGTAAGACAGGCGACCTGGTGGAACAGTGGTTTGCGCTTCAACCTCACAGTGCAGAGGTCGTGGGTTAAATTCCAGCTCCGGCCTTCCTGTGTGGAGTTTGCATGTTTTCCCCGTGCTTGCGTGGGTTTTCTCCGGGTAGTCCGGTTTCCTCCCACATTCCAAAGAAACATGCATGGCAGGCTGATTGAACACTCGAAATTGTCCCAAGGTGTGACTGTGAGCATGGATGGTTGTTAGTCTCTGTGTGCCCTGCGATTGGCTGGCAACCGGTTCAGGGTGTCCCCCGCCGACTGCCCGAAGACGGCTGGGATAGGCTCCGGCACATCCCGCGACACTTGTGAGGATAAAGCGGATCAGAAAATGGATGGATGGATAAACAAGACAGATCTGCTTATTTGTGATGCTACCCTATATTGCGTGTGTCGCACCATTAAATGCAACATCAGCGTGTTTTTGCCACACTGACATTTGCAAAGTGTGTTTTGGTAAACTCATTGAGTCAGCCCAGCACAGTTGAAAAGCAGGCGCTCAGACAAACACGAGTGCGTTCTCGGCACTTAGGAGGAAGTGGCTAGGTGCTTTTGGATGAATCACTTGGAGGATTTAAGGGAAAAAAAAAGAGGAGGTCAAGCATTATAAATACCCGTCACAGATGCACAGCGTCAATGACGGCTAGACAGACACAATGTTGTTTTGGCTGCTGCTGCCACTGGCCGCTCACTCCTCTCTGGCTGGGCCTTTGCTAGGCACAGAAAAAGACAACCGGCTGCTCGCTGAGGTAAGACCCCAGGTTGTATGAGCATCGTATCCTCAATACATTCAGGACCTCTTCGTCATTTACAGAAGTACCTTCGGCGCTTTTATGGCCTTCCAGTTGGTCTGCAAAGCCAGAAGAGGACAGCAGCAGACTTTAAGTCCAAGCTTCAGGAAATGCAGAGGTTCTTCAAACTTGAGGTGAGTCCATTCCATCTTACAATGCCTTTGAGACTTCCCCATTTCACCCCAAAATGGAGAGATTTTCCACTGAATTTCATATTTGTTGTATTACGTCGATGATATGTTGTTCGAACGGCATGTTGGACGAGTCCCACCACTTTGTAATTAATCAACTGCAAGCAGACAATGTGCATGCAAACAAAATAAATGAGCGTGCTGATGTGTGAGTACTGTCATGTAAAACTACTCACATCTTGAAGACATGTCACTGAGAAGGAACAGGAAGGAAGGTTCACTTCCCTGACTTCGGCGCAGGCAGCTGAGGTTGAGTTGCCTTTCAGTGACGGCGTGAATGTGAGTGTGAATTATTCTCACTCTCACTCTCTATATGTGCCCTGGGTTTGAATGATGAACATTTGAGGGTGCAGTCTGCCCAAATGTCAGCTCCTCCAGCTCACCCGTGATCCTGGACCGGACAAGCACAATGGAGAAGGGACAAGTGGATGAATTGAAGCCAGGTTTTGTGTCTTTTTGCCTCCTGTGCAGGTGACAGGCAATCTGGATGACAACACCTTAGATGTGATGACTCAGGCAAGATGTGGTGTCCCGGATATGGGCGAATACAACCACTTCCCGCGGCACCTCAAATGGAAAAATAACATTGTGACTTTCAGGTATGCTTCCAGACATGTCAATGTAGATAAAAATTGTTCCTCGGATCTGCAATTCATTTCACATTGGTTTTAGGATTGTAAATTACACTCCGGATTTGAGGAAGTCCGATGTGGACCGAGCCATCCGCACCGCACTCAATGTGTGGTCTGACGCGACGCCGCTGAGATTTAAGAAGCTGTACTACGGCACTGCTGACATTATGATCAGTTTTGGGAGGAAAGGTATTCACCCAAAACGATTGCAATCATCTTAAAAAGAAAGACAGATTAAGGGTTGATCACACTCTCAATGGTTGTCTCTCAGAATATATAATGTTCAAGGCTTGGATTTAATGAATTTGGATAGCAGTTTGCACCTCAGCAAAACACATCGAAAAACAAAAGAGCAAAGCTTCCCTGGACTTTGCGCATGTGTGCTAATGCTTGCATAACCTACACGCGTGGAGTAGGATGTCGAAGCTAGCTCAGTGCGGTATTTAGCGCGGTAGCTCACAACGGGCTTCGGCTGGCTACTGCCGTAGCTAAACACGTTACAGAGTTGCTATGAAGTCAATAATCATTTCCTCCATGGCGGTGAATAAGACACACTTTTGACAAAAAACTTTCTCATGAAGGAACTGAAGGAGAAGTCATGCTAATTGCCAAGCTAACTAAAAACTGAGACGGAAATGAAGTGCTTGCGTGATTCAGTCCACCTTTCCTAGAGGTCTGGTTGGAACCGCGTTAAAGCAGAACGATCCAAGCACATCACAATATCATCATTGATTCTGTTGTTGGCCATTGGAACTGGAAATAAACTTGTCCTATACAGAACATGGTGACCACAACCCTTTCGATGGTCCTAACGGGCTGCTGGCTCACGCTTACCCGCCGGGCCAAGGCATCGGAGGAGACACGCACTTCGATGAGGACGAGCACTGGAGCAAAGATTCATCAGGTCGTTGTCCGACTTAGAAGTTGGAACATTTCATGAAAGAAAAAGATGGCAAAAATATGAATGTGTTTTGTTTTTTTTTTTTCCGACATGCAGCTTACAATCTGTTCATCGTGGCAGCACATGAGTTGGGCCACGCCCTCGGCATGTCGCACTCCACAGACTCGGGCGCCCTCATGTACCCCATCTATTCGTACGCGACAGGGTACCCTCTTGCCGAGGATGATGTTAAAGGCATCCAGGCACTATATGGTAACGACTCCATCATCAGTCATTTGTTTCTTGCTTCCTCTTTTTTGAACCATTTGATTTCTTTCCGAAATGCAGGCCCCAACCCAGACCACAAGAAAATCAAGCCGAAGCCAGACGCCCCTCAAAAATGTGACCCCACTTTGAGCTTTGATGCTGCTACAGAACTCCGAGGAGAAACCATCATCTTCAAAGACAAGTGAGTCCATGCGCAAACAGACTGAATATTCTCAGGGCATTATTTTTATTATTATTATTATATATATATATTTTTTTTACGAAACCTAAATAGATCCACATTATATATAAACGTCATTAATTGCATTATCTCTCTCTCTCTCTCTCTCTCTCTCTCTCTCTCTCTCTCTCTCTCTCTCTCTCTCTCTCTCTCTCTCTCTCTTTCTTTCTGAAAAAATACATAGATTAAATATGCAGTTTTACAAATTTATTGATGATTGTGTCATGTTGCAGATTCTACTGGCGCCTCCACCCTCAGATGCACGAACCCGAGCTAACGCTGATCAAGTCCACATGGCCGTCCATCCCCAACAAGGTCGATGCAGCCTATGAGAACCCAGAGAAAGACCAGGTCATCATTTTTAGCGGTGGGTTAACATTTTTAACACATAATGATTAAAAAAAAATATATATATATATACATACAGTACAAATGAAGCAAACTCTTTCATGGCATTCATCAGGTATCCGCATGTGGGCTTTGAATGGATACAACCTTGTGGAGGGTTATCCAAAGTACATCCACAAACTGGGACTTCCTAAAAGCGTGAGGAAACTGGATGCAGCTGTTCACATCAAAGACAAGGGGAAAACTCTCCTCTTCCATGAAGAAGAGTATTGGAGGTAATGTTTGTGATATTTACTGTATGCTCTTTTTTTTTTTTTTTTTAAATGAAAACCAACTATGGTCAGTAACATGTCAGACATTCAATACAATGGGTATTTTGCAGCCTGGAGGCCAATAGGGAGCAGCCTATGTGCAGTGTAGCATCCCCTCCCGCTTTCTTTCACACGGCACCTTACAGGCCAAACCAGTAACGTCATCATAATATATTGCTGCATTTTCTACACTGTCAATTTGAAATAATATCGTGTTTGGATATAATAACAGGATGGAAATTTGAATGCAATGCTTTTTTTATCTAATTGAAAAAATAATTGCCAGACCAATCGATTATTAAAATAATCAAATAATCATTATATATATTTTAAATCTATTTTTTTTTATGTGCATGAGTCATTCTTCATATTATACTTCTCCATTTAGTTATGATGAAGCAAGCGGCACCATGGATAGTGGCTACCCGCGATCCATCGAGAACGATTTTCCAGGAATGGACGACGAGGTTGATGCTGCAGTTTATCACTACGGTACCAATTTACTTTTCTCCGTCACTCAATTTCAATCTCAAGTGAACTAAGTAGTATTTTTATTGTTGTTGTTTTTTTTTTCCAGGGTTTTTGTATTTCTTCCATGATCACACGCAGTATGAGTACAGTTACACGTCAAGGAAGGTCATACGTGTCCTGAGAACCAACTTTATTCTCGGCTGTTGAGGTTGCAGACATGTTCGTTACATACAAAATAAAAGGGAAATCCATAGGAATGACATAGTAGCAACATTTTTAAAAAATGTTTATTTGCAACAGTGCTGGACACAGACATCGAGAGAATTCCCATCAGTGTGATGGCTGATAGTATTTGTATTTATTCTTTTGGTTCGTCGTTTGTTCTGTTTCACTTCAAGGTTGACTGTCTAGCTCAGGATTTGCAGAGACTGTAGATCAATGGTGTCAAAGTCAAGGCCCGGGGGCCAGATCTGGCCCAACACATCATTTTATGTGGACCACGAAAGAGAATCAAACATGCCAACTTTCACGATCCTTGCTAAAAGTTGTACCAAAATTCATATTCTCATACGTAATGCTGCAGATGGTAATGTGATTCAAAAAGATCTGCACACTCTTGTAGGTGAAGCAACTGTAGTTTGTATGTTTTTGAAAAGTAATACAAAAAGAAGATTTGAACATTTTGAGTTCTGTACTTGTCATGTGGTGTTTGTGCTATTTATTGTCAGTGATAAATAAAATGGTTCATTGGATTTGCTTTGAATTGGAACATTGGAAGTCGAAGTATTTTTTAATTTTTTAATTCATTTGGGAACAGTAATTTAAAATTGACTTGGGCAATTATGCTAATCGGCAAATGCATTGAGTGTGTTTCATTCATCCATTTTCCGATCCGGTTTGTCCTCACAAGGGTTGCGGGGATGCTGGAGCCTATCCCAGCCGTCTTCGGGCAGTAGGCGGGGGACACCCTGAACCGTTTGCCAGCCAATCGCAGGGCACACACAGATGAACAACCATTGCTGCTCACATTCAGACCTAGGGACAATTTTGAGTGTTCAATCAGCCTGCCATGCGTGTTTTTGGAATGTGAGAGGAAGCCAGAGTTGCGTGTTTCTTGTATCTGTATTCCAAACATGTTTGTCAGCTTTAAAGACGAAGCTAAATGGTCGTTTGTGTGCGTGTGTGCTATTAAAATCGTTCAGGGTGTGGCTACAGCTAAGGAACTTTGGCTCAAGACAAGTAAAAGACATTTGAAGGTGGGGGGCAATGAAAAATGAATGAGCGAGCATCCTTGGGGAAAACCATTGCGCAGTCCCGCCTAAGGTCGGCCGATTAAAACCAGATGGTGGACAGAAAACGACAAATGAATAATAACAATGACTCCACTTAATTCCTGGAAACTCCCTCTGAGGTCAGCAGGATGAGAAGCGATGATGCAAATTCTCCCCACAAAATCAAAACACATGTGACTTCCTTACTCGATTGCACACATACGCAGACACACATGGTCGTGTGAAAAGCTTGAACGCAATGCAGCCTTAAGATATTTAGATGTTGCATCACGCAATCTCAAAGGGAGCGCTGCACTGTCTAGCGCAGGACTTTCGTCGAATGAATGGGCTGATCAGGCTTTAGTGGTGATTAGAGTCTCCAAAATGTCATGAAGACACTCATCATGTTAAGCGTTTCTCACCATAGTTACCAACATTGATTTTACAAGGGACTGGTTAGCGCGTGGGTGGCCCGGTAGTCCAGTGGTTAACGCGTCGACCTCATAGTGCAAAGGTCGTGGGTTCGATCCCAGCTGTGTGGAGTTTGCATGTTCTCCCCGTGCCTGCGTGGCTTTTCTCCGGGTACTCCAGTTTCCTCCCACATTTCAAAAACATTCATAGTAGGCTGATTGAACGCTCTAAATTGTCCCGAGGTGTGAGTGTGAGCGCGGATGGTTGTTCGTCTCTGTGTGCCCTGCGATTGGCTGACAACCG